GAAATCCGATAACTGACTGGCCAAAGAACGTCATTGGGATTTGGCTGCAGAGATGTCTGGGTGTGCAGAAGTCACCAGGCAGCATCTATTTCTAGATGCACACTGAGAGGATTATTGCTGCTTTATTATTTGATTATCGAATGGAGATATGCTTTAGATTGAACATTGCTTAGTACGCATCCGTTTTAAAACAAAAGATAAAAACTTTTAAAATGCTCTGTGAAGGGACTCTGTGAAAGCAAAACCCTTTATTTCAGCATTTATTGTCTTTCAGTGGCTCACATGAGACTCACCTACAGTGCAAGAAAAAAATAGGGAGAGGTTTATCACATTTGCCAACTCCACCACTTTTTGCCTTCTCTCACATCATTAGCAGCAATAAATATTCCAGAGGTCAATTTATGTCCGCAGTCAGGACTTGTCATCCCACTCGTCTTCCATATATAGCCTCAGTGGCACGCATATAACCTTGATGAAGGCTAATGGAGTTGCACAGGTGTAGCCAAGGCAAAAATACCTTTATTGCTGCTGATGGTGCTTGAATAGGGGAGAATCCAGCTTGACGTCTAGTTGAGTTTGCAAAGCTGTCAGGTGGGAAAAATAAATATTCTCTTATAAACTAAGCAAATGTGTTCTAGTCTCTTTGCAGGATGATAAACCTGGGACTATGGGGTGGAATTTCTAAAGACTTGCTTTTTAGAGGATACTGAGACTGTAAAGCCTGGCCCTTTTAGAAACCCCATCAAGCCAATGAAAGTCAAGGCACTTAACTTGCAAAAGGCACTCAGTATTTTGTAGGGTCATGCCCGCAGTAATACGAAATCATTATAGTTTGCAAAGTAAGTATGTTTATAAATATAACATGTCTAGAATCCTCTCCTGGTATTTGTTAACAGATCCTTTTGAGATGGTACTTAAAGTTAAATGTGATTTACATTGCACTCTTTGTATTAGCATAGAAATCAAAACAAGAAATGGCATTTTTTTAGCTGAAGAAGAAAGGAGATCTGTCTATGTTAAATGTAATATAAAGGACATTTTAACCAGTGTATGCTAGGGTTAAATTCTGATGCCATTCCAATTGAAGGCAGAAATTGTTTGCCAGAGACATCAGTGGGAAGATGATCTAGTTATAACGATGCTATACACATCCATATAAACATGCAGAAAAAGAATTATATATTTTCCGTGTATTTACCTCATCGGTTCTTTGCCGTAGGCTAATTATTGTTAGCCTCATGTTTTGCCATTCATTCCTTTGCGTGTTGCACTTGGTACCTGACGGTAGAATAGCAAGTGGTGTCTCAAAAGGATGAAAACGAAATATTCAAAAACAAGTGAGATATCCCCTCCTCCAAGAAGAAAATATAGACAAAAAGGATAAGAGAAATAGAGTTGTTGCCCATCCTGAGTAAGGCTATTTGAAGACAACTAGCCATTGGATTAGTAGGAAAAATGTGTTGTTTATATTGCACCATAATGAAAAGATAATTGGGTTTGACTGACCAAGACAATTTTAAAATTATGTATTATTTAGGAAAGGCGAGGAGAACACATTCTGAGACCTCTTGGTTTCTCAGAGAAAGGTTAATGCTGCAGTATGCCGGTCCATATCCAGAAAAGTTCTTGTTCCATGTGCTTTATCTTAAAATACATGGGCACGGCCCTTCTGAGGTTGGGCTAGCTCAGTCCCGAGCCTGAGCTATCACCTTCCCATGCTGAGAAGATGTCGGAGACAGGTTCACCAGGCGCCATTGGGAGCTGAGCCCCGTGGTCATTGCCCTCCCAGCAGCAGCTGGTCATGTGAAACACTCCCAGTCCTTTTCAGTGCAAAGTCATCTGGAAAGGATGAGGTGTACTGGGAAATGTTCCTGAAGTCTGATCCACTTTGCTGTGCCCTGTGTTCATGAAAAGAGAGGAGACGAGTGGAGAGGAGGGATGGGGGAGGATGCCCAAAGATTGCTGGACATATTGCAGTAACCCCAGGGATTATGTTACTAACAACCTCAGAAACAATTTTATGCAATATGAAGCATCAAACATATTTGAGGAGTGCTAGGTTTCCTTAAGTCCTCTCTTGAAAGTATATTCTTCTTCTGGTGAATGTTTAAGCCTGCTTTATGACAGATCTGGGGTTGAACGCTTGCTCTTGCTGCTTATTTCTTCAGGCACAGAGCCTGTGGAGAAGTTAATATACTTAGTCTGGGCTTGGAAAAAGCATATGGTTAGTCAGCTTCTTCAAACCGCGACCCATACAAGGTTGCTGCAGTATGGGACTGTCGGAGAAAATGGACGCAAAATAGCAGCAGTGATGGGGATCTGTCGCCTAAATACTGTCTGTGTATTTTGCGTGCATGCTTTAGCTGGAAGCCCAGGCCTGAACTCTTCCCAGCTTTGAAAGTGCAGCTGAACTCTGCGCTAGGCAGGCTATCGGAGGCTGTGGAGTTTTACCCCTTCTGGGTGTAGCAACACCAAAAATGGGCACACTGCACCCAGCTTTGGCTACCGCCGACCAGACTTGTTTCCGTTCTGCCTGACTTGGGCCTCTGATTTGCACCTATGTTTTAGGTACTTAATAAATCAGCCTTCCCAAAGCAAGGACCTAGCTTCTGGTACAAGCAAAAATGAGGAACACCTTGAAGGCTTCCAGAAGGAGATGTTATCCTTAATTCAGGTACTGAAGTGCAGGCAGGCAGGAGATTCCCCCTGGAGTGATCACATGTGCTTGTTGACTCTGTTAGTCAACTAACATTTGGGCCCAAGTTTGCCGTGTAAGGCAGTTTAAATCTGAACTAGTCATCTCGACACCTGCTATGGTCAGCAGAGAGACAGGCACCCTCCAGGAGGCAAGTCAGCTCACCATAAAATAAGTGTTTAAGATAGGAGATGAAGGTGGGATTCATTCTATGAATACAGAGAAAGCCAAGGTGCCTTTCCTAGGCTATTCGCTTAGGACAGGTGTTGCGTTGCTTACTGCAGGTGTCCAGCCTCAGCTGGCTGTCCAGGCTTCCGCTGTAGGCTTGGAGGACGATGGGAATGTCTAGAGGGTAGCACATCCCACCTTAGGATAAGGAGTATGAATTGCCTTCTGGAAGTGCTCACCCTTCCTTGCCTGCAGCAAAAGGCTAGTCACCTGGCTTCCACTGGACTGGAGCCAGTCCTGGCTGGCTAAAAGTACAGGAAGTATTCCTTCCTAAAACAAATGTTTGTCTGAATGGCACGTACGTATGCTGATAATGTGTCCATGGAGATTAGAAGTAGGTCAAGATCTGTCTAAAACCCCATGTCCCAAGCGCCCCTCTCTGAGAACTCAGATTTTCCTGTTTAGGCCAGTCCAGCTAAAGCTCCTTGGTTTGGGGAAGGGGAGGAATGAGCTAGGTGGGATCGTATCTGCCCTAGAAGAGCTAGGTGGAACATGTGTGCGTTCGGTAAGGAAGGAAGCAATGGAAAATCCCGTGAGGAGGTATCATTTTTTCCAGACTGCGTTTGGGATAGACGAGCACAGCTGCTGGGTAGAGGGAATGTCAGATATTTCTGTAACAAAGTGAGTTTCACCGGAACATTTTAATTTGGTGCGTTCTCCTTCTTATTCCAACCCAAAGCGCTGGAATCTGTACCAAATATGCCA